AAAGAAATATTGACTGTGAAAAATGGCTTTTTCATGTAGTTAAGGGTAAGCATTTTTCAGCTATTCTCAACACTCATATTGAATCCTAAAAATGGCTTTTCTCTTGTAGTTAAGAGTAAGCATTTTTTCCCAGCTATTCACTTCAAAATCACTTTAATAAGCCAAAGCTGTACAGGCTGGTACTTCTGCTTCTCAGAAATGTAACTGGAATATTTTTCAGAATTATAAAATTCTGAAGATACACTGGAATAAATGCATGGGTAAAACATTTACATTATTTTTTCTGATTTTGCATGCATTATTTTAAAAGGAAGTTAAAAACCTATTTTATAAATTCCCATCATAAAATATTCCATTTACAGATAGTCTTTGTCCAATTTCATCTTCTAAGATGTTTATTTTTTACCTCCCCATAACAAAAAATAAAATTACCTACTTATATAGCAATTACTTTTTAATAATATATTCCTCCTTTTCTCTTTAACTACATAGGAAAAATTTAATCATGATGTCTAATAAAGATAATTAAGTTCTTCCTAATTTTTATATTTGATTTTATGCTATTATTCCCAAAAGCCAAATATTACAACTGCTGCACACACACACACACACACACACAATTTAGAGAAGGAACAACATGCTTTTAAAAATATCACATTTCTCATGTAAGACTGTCTCACAAAATCCAAAAGAGGGGGCTTGAGTGTAAATCCACGATAACTCAGCATATAAGAGCAAGTACTGCTCTTGCAGAGGACCTAAGTTTGGTTCCAGCACCCACATCAAGTGGCTTACAAGTTGACTCACAACCACCTGCAACTCCAGCTCCAGGGGGGGCCCGATGCCTCTAGACTTCTCAGGCACATGCATTCACATGTACATACCCCCCAACACACACATACACGTGAACACACATTTTAAACTAATAAGTATTTGAAAGTACAAAAGAAAATTCAAATTTTTCTCTTTATAAATACTTTATAAGTTTCTGTAAATTGTATCACATTGCAGCAAATTAAGTGCACTGGCTCATTGTCTTGTTTATAATGTTATATTACATCTTTATCATTTTAATCTTCACTGATTCTAAATTTTTATTTAAAAAAATTTTATGTGTATGAGTGTTTTGCCTGCATGGATGTAAGTGCACCACATGTGTGTAATGCCCATGGAGGACAGAAGCGGGCATTGAATTCCCTGGAACTGGAGTTATGGATGGTTGTTAGCTGCCAGGTGTGTGCTGGGAACCAAACACAGGTCCTCTCTAGTCTCTGATTAAGTCTATTTTATATAATATATTTTAGAGTTCACTTTTCAATGTTTTCCATACAGCTCTTTGAAATGAATTAATACAGCAAATTTATACCCATTATGTTGGTGTCTAGGTTTTTAGTGAATCTGACAGTGAGGACTAGCTTTACCAATTTGATTAGAAAGTATGTTCCAAAAATTCAGTAAGCTAAAACTGCAGGCCCAATTTAAAAAAAAAAATCACAAAAACATTTAAAAAAATTGGATTGCCAATGGTATAGTACACTTACTTACCAATACTTCCATTTCCCCAACACTTCCTGCACACATCTGCTTGTATAAGTAAAATCTGGTTTCAAGTAAAATAGCAAGGGTTATAATTGAGTCAGTTGATAGTCTTGATATAGCCTTTTGTTATAATTCTTAGAAAGGACAAGAACAAATTATTCTAGTGGCTTAATAACAAATTCCTCTGCAGGTCACACCTTTTCCAACCCATTATTTACAATAAATTTCAAGAGGGAACTTAGTAGGGCTAGAGAGATGGCTCAGCAGTTAAGTGAACTTGCTGCTCTTGCAGAGGACCTGGGTTCAACACCTAGCATCTGCATGGTGGCTAACAACAATCTGTAACCCCAGTTCCAGAGGATCTGATGGCCTCTTCCTACCTCCGCAGGTACTGAATGATATGTGTGCACTTACATACATGAAGGCAATACACACATGCACAAAAAATAAAATAATAAATATTTAAAAATATTTTTTATTTATTATTTTTATGTGTATGCTTGTATTGTTTGCATGTAGGTTAAGTACAACCATGTGTTCACTGTCATGTGGGTGCTGGAATTCAAACCCGGGTCTTCTGCAAGAACAGTCAGTGTTCTTAACCGCTGAGCCATCTCTCCAGCCCCAATAAAATATTATTTAAAAAAGAAAGAACTTAGCAAACTACTATTTGGCAAATCATTAAAATTACTTTTATGTCAACGATAAATTATTTGTGATTTAGGGAAAATAACTTAGAAGGAATCCAAAGAACTAAATTATATCACTAGAGTAAACGCCTTCCATCCCACCTATACACTTGTGTGAACAAATATTTCAATATTTACAATGAAAATAGAAATAAAATTGATGTTATAACCTGCCTCAATCTGGCAATAAGTTACATTCACCCACAGGTACATCCACAAATCAGCAGATCCCAATCGTCTCATTAAGAAATACATTGCTGGGCTGAAGAAATGGTTCAGTGGTTAAGAGCACTTCCTCTTCCTGCTCCTCCAAAGGACCTGAGTTCAGTTCCTATCCCATGTCGGGTGGCTCACAACTGCCTGTAACTCTATGCCCTTTTCAGACTTCTGTGGGCACTGTATACATGTGGTGAATAAGCATACATGCAAGCAAAACACTCATATACATAAAATAACTTTTTTCAAAAAGAGATATATTGCTGATGAAATTTATCTTTAATAATTGTTTATCAAAATGCATCATGTGGTACTTTTGTTAACTGTGTATTGATTTATATACATTTTTCTTTTAGAGATGTATGACAGAGACAACTAAAAGATCTGCAAGCACTAAAGCATCACATGAGGGAAAATTATAGGAAAGAAAGAATTTGAGGAGAAATAGGAAAATTTGTAAAGTACTTGAAATTTTAAAAATATTTTATTATTTTTATTTTATGTGTTTTAGTGTATTGCATGCATGTGTGTAGGCACACCCATGTCATGCATGCAATGCCCATAGAGGTCGGAAGAGGGCACTGAATAGCCTGGAACTGAAGTTATGAACAGTTGTTAGCTGGCATGTGGGTGCTGGGATTTGAACCTAGGTCCTTTGGAAGAGCAGCCAGTGCTCTTAACTGCCGAGGCATTTCCCCAGCCCCAAATACTTGAAAAATTTTAAGGGGTTTGCTATGTATTTAGTTAGTGGTAACTAAAGGCATTTAAGTGGTTAATAAACAATATTGTTTAAGTAAATTAATTAATTTAATATTTTTTAGACAGGCAAGGTCTTCTTATATAGCTTAGATTGACCTGAATCTTCCTATATAGCTAAGGCTAGGCTCAAACTCACAATTCTCCTACATTAACCTTCCAAGCACTTGGATTACAGTCATATACGTCTGGGTACAATTTTGCTTTGAAGTGTCAGTATTACTTTTGGCTCCTGGTGTAGCGTATAAAGAGCTTAAGCATCACTACTCCACTGTAAAAAGGAAAAAGGAAGAAATAACTGAAAAATGAACATACTTTCATAGATTTACCACAGAAATGGAGGAAAAGGGCAAATTGCCGCCACTAAAGGGAGGGAAGACCAGAGGGGGAGAAAAGGTAGAAACAGGACGGGAGAGAGGGAGAGAGGGAGAGAGGGAGAGAAAGAGGGAGGGAGAATTTATAACTGGGAGGGAGGGAGGGAGGGAAAGAGATAATATCACTTACTGGAACAGAAACCCACAGGCAGAAACTTGGGAGGGAACTAGTACAGGACAGCAAAACTTCAACTGACAAATTGCTGGGGCTCAATGTGGACACATGTGACAGGTTAAAACTCTGGGTCACATGGTTAATTGTGACTCATACCAAACCTCCTCTAAGCTCAAATCACCTAAATGACCCAAGCCCATATGCTGCACAGATATTTCTAGGGCCTAGGAGACTCTGATGTTGGTGCTCAAGAGATAGTTGTCTACTTAGGACAAAGGGAAATGAGCAAGGGGCAGCTTCTCTGTCTCCTTTGGGTTCCTTCTGCATGACTTGCCTGGTGGCCATTACTTCTACCATCCATCCTCTGAATAAACTCCATTCAGTAACTGCGTGTTCATCACCCTTAGCAAAATCTGCAAGTTTCCCTCTGAAAGTTCTAAAGGTAGTTTTTTTATCTTTGCATAAGATAATAATGATGCTAGTTACAAGAAAGTCCTTGCTGCACATTTTTTTCTCCCTCTCTAAGTAGAGAGATAAAGGTTTGTGATGCCTAGCCCATATAGTGATCACAGTGGCTGGATAGGAAACTGATCACAGTGAATGGATATGCTGCTTCCAGAGCTACAGAAGTGACATACAGCTCTCCCTAGTCAGGAGCAATCCTTTTAATCAAAATTGAAAGAGGTCAGCCTCCTAGAGTATGAAAACTTCCATCTTCATCAAACCATCTTTCTCCTTCCATAAGCTTAGGAAGTTAGTCAGTTCTTCCATTGTGAACCAAGATTGATGTGTAGCTGAATCTCCATTTCTTTATCGCGATGTGCATGATTCAACTAATTAGGGCCATCTAAAGCCATGACCATTAGCATAATACTGACCCAAGTGTTATGGGTCATACATAAATAAAACAATGACCTTGTATGCCATCGATCATCCTAAACTTCAGTTCTCCAAGATTTGAAATCAGAGTAATATTGCATTTCCCTTGACTCTCTAAAAGATTTTAGAAACATAAATTGGATCATGCCTCAAATACCAGGAGAAAAGCATTAATGGAAAACATGAAGCGGCTACCCTTGGTGGTATCATTAATCTGTCTCTCTCTAGTGCAGTGGCACACAATCTCATGATGTAATTTCTCCTATGGTTTTTAAATGTCACTTAAAATTTCAGGTAGCGAACAAATGAGGTGGTATGGGCCGAACTGCAAGCATTAACAATGTCAGGTTTTACTGATGGACATCTGAAAGCGGTGCTTTTCAAGTAGCATATTATAAAGGAGTTTCCGGACAAAGAAAATGCACTTCTTACCTCCTACCAACAAGTAGCTGTTGGGAAACAGTGTTTTAGCTTGCATAAGTGCCCTTGCATGACCCGAGTGGAAGAGGTCAAATATTCCATCTGCATAGACTCTGACAGGCCTGTCAACTGTGGAAGAAAGAAATACCATTAACACAACTACGGAATAAGGAAATCCTTGTTCCTGTCTATTACTATAGCACCGTAAGTTTACCTGAAGAAGACACAATATCTATATGCCGTCAGTGTAACATTAGTGTATGAAATTGATTTTTTTTAAAAAGCAGATTGTTCTATAGGCATCAAAACAGAACAAAAACCAGATTACACATTGTTGACCAACCAGGAAGACAAACACAGAGCCCTGGGGAGTTCTCTTGACCCTAACTGGAACCTAGATATCTGAATTTACCTGTTACTGTGGAAATGGAGTTTCCATTTTAGATTTCTTAGACTCATTAATGAAAGAATTTAGAAATGGACTCAAATGGAAGCTCAAGAACAATTTTATTAGCGTTTAAGAGAAAAGCAGAGTATAGGTTTGTTGAAAATCCTGACAGTCGCCAGGAGGAGAGATGGAGGAAAAGTCATGCCTTTTAAATTAGGCATGAGGGTTTGGAGAGATGGCTCAGCAGTTAAGAGCACTGACTGCTCTTGCAGAGGACCCGGGTTCAATTCCCAGCACCCACATGGCGGCTACGAACCATCCTTAACTCCAGTTCCAGGGGAATCCGAAGCTCTCTTCTGACCTCCATGGCATTGCACAACACAGGTGCACTCACATACATGCAGGCAATACACTCATACACATAAAATAAAAATGATAAAAATAAATAAATTAGGCATGGAATAGAAATGGCTTATTAAGAGAGGAACCCCGCCCCCCAAAGAACGGAAGTGGGCTAGTGAGCCGAAGAGTTCAAAAAGTAGCAAGCAAGGCAGGGTATGGTCTTTTATAGCCCCTCCCCTCCCATTTATATTTTAAGGGCTTTGTTTCCTGCAGGCTCTGTTTGTTAGATGATGCCAGGGTAAGGAGCAGGTTCCAGTGTTCCTCTGAAAATTGGCTTCTTTCACATGCTAATCTTGACGAAGTGTTTTTTAGTCCCTACTCCTCTATCAGGTACCTGGTGGGAACATCAAGGCATCAGGAGCAGAGGAGCTGGGGAAGGCCTTGAACAAAGACCTACATCCTGTTCTCAAAGGTAATGATGTGCTGGAATCTGCTCAGAGAGTTGCCCATTTTTCTTACCAATTCCAAGATTCATTGGTGGCTGTTTTCACCCCAGAAATAGGGAAATGTTACAAATCAAGGCTCATTTCCTCTTTGAAGGCCAGGGCATGAATGTTTTCCAACATATCATTGTACAAAGGCCACTCCATAACCTCTGTGTTGTAAAAGAGAGGAGACGTGCCCCCAAAGAAAGGACAGCCAATGTAGCAGTGTTGGACATAGGGGTGATACTCTAGGTTAGAAGAGATCAATCAGTTGTTCTTTCTAGTTCTGCAGGATACTGTTGCTGAGCTGGGCCAGAGACCCATTTCCTTCAAATCAGAAGGGAGTGTTGAATGGTAGGATGCCATCAATTTGATAAAGTGGGTCAGAAAATGGAGGAAGAAGGTTGTTGCTCTTTGCTATTTCTACCCTGATAATCTGGAAGACGCTTGTTACACTTGTTTGTAGATACACACACACACACACACACACACACGTACATGTGTGTATTTTGGCTAACTCATACACCTTTCTCTACTCTCAGCAAAGGAACTAGATATTAAAAATCAAAAAATGGGATCCAAAAATGGATGACAGGAGAAAGAAGCAGTTTCTCTTATCAATGTATTCTTGTCCTAGGCACATCTCACACCTCTTCTCCATGGTTACAAGCAACATAAAGAAATTTATTCTTCCATGGAGAAGGAAGGAGATCTCTGTGGTTACAATGACATTCTTTTCAAATATGAGAAGGCAAGGGTGGTGGTGCAGGACTGGAATCCCAGTACCTGACAGACTGAGGTAGGAGGACCTTGAGTTAAAGGCCAATCTGAGCTACACAGTGAGACTGTCTGAAAAGAAAAAAAAGGACTGTGAGAACTCATTCCTTCAATGTAGCATTAATCTTTTTAACCTGTTGATTAACCTATCCCCTTCCTTCTGCTTCCCATCTCCCAAGTCTCTGGTAGCCACTATTATTACTAATTATCTTGATTTTATTATTCTTTAATGTATTCATGAATCAAAACATCATATTACATCTCAAAAAAATATGCACAATTATGTATTGAAAAAAATAAAAACTGTGGAAAAATAAAAGTTAAATATGCTGGATTAAACACACATATTCTATTAATCTCCACCTTCTCCCAAAATACCACCAAAATTACAAAAAAAAGAGTATTAATAGGAGGTATAATTTCCTCCAAGGTAGAGAATATAAGTAGACAATGACAAGGAATTAGAGATGTCAACAGCTTATAAAATTGATTATAAAGTGTTGAATGCCTACAGGGAACAAGAATTAGGGTTGAGGAAGGAAAGGGAAGGATTTGTGGTTTTCTTCTTTTAATTAAAAAAATCTGTGTGTGTGTGTGTGTGTGTGTGTGTGTGTGTGTGTGTGTGCATACCATGTTGTGCTTATGGAGGTCAGAGAACAACGTTCAGGAATGAGTTCTCACCTTCCATCATGGGTTTTGGGGATCAAAATCAGGTCATCAGGTCCATGAAGCAAATGTTTTCACCCACTGAGCCAACTCACTGGCCTGATGATTTTCTTTATAAACATAAGAAAACTTTTGACATTTACAAATATATGCATGCATTATGTTAACATTATAAAATTTAATGTTTACATTGTGGCTCCCTGATAGAATGCCTGCTTAGCGTGCACAAGGTCTTAGGTTTGAACCTCAGCACCACAAAAAAAAAGTGAATTAAAAGAAATTATTGCAATCTTCTATTGAATGATTTAGGACTTAGATTTAAAATTGTAATTAGTTATTGGTGCAATCCAGCCTCATTAATTTAGAACATAAAGAAATATTGCATTAATAGATTCAGATGGTACAATATTTCTAATAAATTAAATTTCTCCAATAAAAAACCTGGAGATTTTATGTCAGATTAAAAACTGAAACTATTTTCAATTATACACCATTTTGAACAAACAGAATTGCTTTCACAGGATTATACTGTATTCTAAATACAGCACAGTAAACAGAAAGTGCTTTGAAATAACAAACTGTCTAATGAGGGATCTTGGGTTTCAATGCTCTTATTCAATTGCGATTCAATTGAGGAAAATTTGTTGTAAGATATAAATCCCACAAGAAAGCAGATGGCAGTTTTGTGGAAGTTTTTGTTAATGATGCAGAGGTGATCAGGATAAATGAATTCAGGAAGCAGAGAGGAAAGAAAAGTAAAAAAAGATGACATAATTACTGAGAAAAAGGCCATTTAGGAAATTTGAAGACTATCTGCAGAGTTGATTTTGCAGTAAGCTCACTTTTTAAAATTGCAATGTGTCAGCAATTTCCAGACTGGGAAACTCCTACAGGGCCAAAACCAAAAAAAGGGAAACTGGTTTCCTGGTCTCTTGGGGGCAGGAAGGGGGGACAGTGGAAAGGGGGGGGGAAGGGAGGAAGAGAAGGAGGGAATGAGGGGTGAGGGAGGAAGAGAGAGAGAGACTATGGATTGAAAGAAGTTTAAAACAAATAGCAACACATAGCAAGTTACTACAATAACTTGTTTATCTATCTGTGATTATAGTAATGGTGTTTTTTCTCTCTTGTTCACATACCTTCTACCTTTCAGTTCAACACCTAAGCATGTTTTCACTTCACAGGGAAGGCCCTGGTGCAAGGGACTTGACGTCAAATCCTGGTTCTACTGCATTCCATAAGTTGCTTTTCAGCTCTCCAGTCCTCTGTTGAAAAGTCATATACTATCTATCTCAAGTGGATTTTTAGAAGATTAAAGGACAGGGCATCATATTAAAAAGAAGTATATTGAAGTTCTACAGGAAGTAAGGTCCCTTTCTGCTGGGCCCTGAAGCTTGTCCTTTAACTTCAGGTCAGGTTTGTTTTCTGCATAACCACCTTGTTTTGGTTTAGATCTTTATCTCCCAGTTCCTGCCTCCTGCTGAGCTCATGTTTTGAAGGCTTGGTGCCCAAGGATGGCACTGTTGGGAGGCCTAGCTGCTGGAACTTAACTGGGGAGTGTCTTAAGGAGCATATTGGAACCCTGATCCTTCCTGTTGCTTTTGCTCACTTCCAAGCCACCTTGATAAGAGAAATCTCCACCATACCCTCCCTACCATAATGTTCTGCCCCACCACAGGTCCAAAGTGACAGAGCCAAGCAACCACAGACCAAAACTTCTAAAAATGTGAGTCAAAACCAAAGATTTCCCCCTTTCAACTTGTTTACCTCAGGTATTTTTTCATAGTAATCACTTTGTTTGGCATCCTTTGAATTTGCTGTGTGGCCAATATTTCTTAGTATGTGGTCTCTAACTACTAACTTAAGACTCATCCAGGCTGTTTGTTAAAACTGCAGATGGAGCCAGGTATGGTGGTCCATGTTTTTAATTCCAGCATTCTGGAATCAGAGGCAGCTGGATCTCTGAGCCTGAGGACATTCTGGTCCACATAGCAAGTTCTAGGTCAGCCAGGGTTACAGCAGTCCAACAAAAATGCAGATGGCTATCCTCCTTCCCTGGTCTTGGGGTTTGGGGGAGAAGAACAGGGACGTTTTTCTTTAAGGCACTTCCATGTGATTCTTTACACATGAAACTGTAAAAACAAGTGCTCTGATCCACCTCTCCAGGTCTCATGTTGCTCTTCTCAAAAGAAGCTCATGAAAAAGTATAGCAAGAGTAAATCTGCCTACCATCCTCCTCACTTCACCGCTGAAGGGTATTCTTAAAGAGGAAGCAGAGTATCACAGTTGAGGTCAAGCTCTAAAACAACCTGGAGCTCAAATCCCAGCTTTTCCACTGACTAGCATAAGAGCAGCAACATCACCTGAGAGGCTATTAGAGTTGCAGCTTCTTAGGCTCTACCCCATATGAACAGAGTCAGACACTCCAGGGGCGAGGCCCAGTCATGCCCATGTTCACAAGTCCTGATGAGGCACCAGTGTGAACAACCCTGGCACTTGCTATCTGAATGGCCTTGTGCAGTTCTGCAACTTATCTAAACCTTTGTTTCCTTATGTGTGAAATACTGAACTAACCATGCTGACTTGCGATATAAAATGGCATGATCCAAATGAAGACCTAGTATTAAATTGCACATTTAATAAATGTCTATTACAATTATTAAATAAACTGTCCTTTGTCCCATGAATTCTTTTAAGTTTGGGTTGTTCAGTTTTTGTAATGGTATGAGGAAAACATTCCATTCTGTCATCATATATGGCTCAAAGCTTATCCCCTGAAGTAGTCTTAATTTTTACCCCATCCTGATCAACTGGAATGATCCACATTGACTCCCAGACAGCTATCTCTGTGCCTTCCTTCAGTCTTTCTATTCTGCACTCCCAGAATAACTTTTCATTTTCTGCAGACACAGTCCAAAGCTTTTCCCTCAAAGTATCATTTATGCTGTTTCTTCCCTGAAGTCTTGCCTGACCACTCTAGGCCACATGAATGCATCCTTCTCTGAACTGTCACTTATCGTCAGTGTTGCAAATACGCACATATGTCTATGGCTTTCACTTCATAACTGTCTTGTCTCCTTAATTATCATGGAAGCCCTTGGGAAACAGAAATGGTACTTTGTAGTTCCCTTTCGATCTCTTCCCTGTTGGTCCTCTGATAAAGGCTAAAAGAATGAATGGAACTACAGACTTCTATAGCAGACCCCAGTCTTTTTAGGGCGTACTTAAAAAATTTTAAATGAAGCCATTTAACAGTAGCAACTGCATAGCTTAGGTTCATCAATGCCTTGAAACAATGGTATTTTTAACAGAATCTACCTTTCAAAAAAAGCTATCTAGAGTAAGTACAGTTGTACCTGTCTTGCACATGAGAAAACCAACTCAGCTCTTTCTCATGAGTTGCCTGAGTCTGTATGCCTAGTAAATGACAAAGTTGAGACTCAAACTCATATATTCTCCTGCATCTTTACTTGGCTCCTCTGATTAGTATAAGTTATTACTGGGGCTGGAGAGATGGCTCAGCGGTTAAGAACACTGGCTGTTCTTGCAGAAGAGCCAGGTTCGAATCCCAGCACCCACATGGCAGCTAACAACTGTCTGTAACTCCAGTTCCAGGGGATCCAACAGCCTCTTCTGTCCTCTGTGGACATTGCACGACATGGGTGCACTTACATGCATGCAATACATGCATACAGATAATAAAAATAATAAATAAAATATTTGAAAAAATATGTTATTACTGCTTTAGTTTTCTGCTTTTGGGGGGATAGGGTCTTGTTATGTAGTTCAGGCTGAAACTTATAGTAATCCTCCTGCCAAAGCATCCTCAGTGCTGAGATTACACACATGAGCCAACACACCCAGCTGGTTTTCACCACTAATGTTCATCATTTTTGCACTGTGCTATAATCTCTAAATTCCACTCTGAGTGAATGTGAATGCTGCTCACATAATGATAAGCCTTTGTAATGTTTCAAAAGTCAAGACAAAGCCCATTTGAGGAATGAGAAAGACACCCTTACCTGGCGTTCCTAAGCGGGCCTGGGCGATGGTCAGTTTTTCATGAGGCGCTTGGCACTGGCAGCTGGATTCATCTGCAAATGGGGCTGGTGCAGTCAGGGTCTAGAAGGGAAAAAGACAAAGGGAATACAGTCTGATCATCTTTTCTTCAGCACCAACTTCCTCTGAAGTGTTCTTTCTGTTTGGTAGACAGGTATGAAGAGAATATAGCAGGGCCATGCTGGTTCACACCTATAGTCCCAGCAGCACTCAGAAAGCCAAGACAGGAGGATCACAGAGAGTGTGAGGCCAGCCTGAGCTATATAGAGAGTTCCATGATGGGCCAGACTAGAGAGAGTGAGACCCAGTCGCAGTCACAAAATAAATAAACAAATGAATAATTAAATAAATTAAAGAAATAGAATATATCTTCTGGGTCTCTCCTGGAAATAAAGCTTTGTCACAGTCCCTTCCCCCCTCCATTGTAACTGGTGCTTCAGAAATAATTAGAGCTAGACAGGCATGGTGGCTCACACCTCTAATCTCAGCACTAGGGAGGCTGACTAAGGCAGGAGGATGGAGAGTTCAAGGCCATCCTGGGCTGTATAGTAAGACTGTCTCAACAACTAAGAAAAAAGAAAAAGAAGACATAATAAGAGCTTTACAGTGTCTACCAAATGTTAGGTTCTAGATGCAGAGCTTTGGCCTCCCAACTCACTCTGCTGCACACATATTTCTGTCCTTTTGTGGCATACCATCATGCTATGTCGATTATACAGAAAAGGCAACTGAGGCTCAGCAGGGTTAAGAAATATGCTTAGTCATGCCCTTGGAAAATCAGAATGCCCAGTTTTGAGCATTTCCCAACCAACAAGGGCAGTCTTCAAGCACTGAGACTCACCCACACCCGGCTGAAAGGGACCTCATACTCGGAAGCGTGGCACGACATCTCCTGTGTTTTACACACACACGCACACACACACACCCCTGCCTGGCCAATCACAAAGGCTGATGTCTCTTCCGTGCAAAGGCCAAGGCTGCTGCTATCTGCACCCGAGAGGACCTAAAAGCACAGTAATTCTGGCGGGCTGCAGATAACTGTTCCTGTGGTAGCTTCATCGGCCACCAATGGCTAGAGGCCCCGCCCCAAGCAGCTTGGGCTGGGCTCTGGGGAACACTGTGAGAAAGATGTAGTCACTTGGAAGCTTGCCCAGGAAGTGGCCCTGCATTTTTTCAGTCAGCCTCTTAAAATGAAAACCTCACTCTCTCCAGACAGAGGAAGACAAAGCAGGCGGTGTTTCTGTAAACAGGGAAAATGCAATTCAGAGTTGCCCATTTTCAGTCTTTGAGCTATGTCATTACCACAGTCACCACTACATCATCCTCGATCTTTTTAAAGCCAAGGTTCACTAGTCACTGCAAACATTACTCACAGTGCTGCATGAATTGTTTGTTAGAGATGGAGACAGGTATTCCTTAACTTGGGAAGATTTGACTGAGAAAGGATCTAGACATTTGAACAGGGGCTGTGATTTACTTCTGTATTCATTTGCATTTATTCAATCACTCATTTATTCATTCAAATATATGTCAGGCACGCTCTTAAAATCTTAGGCGCTAGATGTAGGGATGAGAGAGCAGAGTCGTTGGTCTTTTTTTTTTTTTTTAAGATAAGTGCTTTCTATGTAGCTGAGGCTGAACTCACAATCCTCCTGCCTCATCCTCCTGAGTGCTGGAATACTGGGATTGTAGGCATGCACCACCATGCCTGGAAGTCAGTCCCTGCTCTTGAAGAGACTATGTCCTCTATACTGACAAGAACTGATCCATGCCCTGGCCCTGTCCTCTCATCCCATTCCAGTACCTTCCACTTTGAAAGCAGAAGTCCTGTCCAGTTTTCTTTGGAGACCTCCCCGTTAGTTGCCTGAGACTTTCTTAATCCTCATCCTCTCCTTCAGGGCTCTGAAAGCAAACTAAGATGTGGGACAAAGAATTGGGAAACATGAATCCATTATTTGTTATTTTTCAGGTACATTAAGGTGACCTTGTAGGTGCCAATGGACCAGAGCAGCATTTGCAATGTGGCAAAAGGGTGCCAGCTTTCCTTGTAAAACTACTGTTCAAGAGGGCTGGAGAGATGGCTCAGTGGTTAAGAGCACTGAATACTCTTGCATAGGACCTGGGTTCAAATCCAAGCAGCCAAGTGGATGCTAACCACTGCCTATAACTCCAGTTCCAGGGGATCTGACACCCTCTTCTCACCCTCATGGGCATTGCATGACATGGGTGCACTTACATACATGCAGGCAATACATTCATACACACAAAATTTTTTAAAATTAATTTAAGGGGGCTGGAGAGATTGCTCAGTGGTTAAGAACACTGATTGTTCTTGCAGAAGACCTAGGTTCGAATCCCAGCACCCACATGGCAGCCAACAACTGTCTGTAACTCCAGTTCCAGTGGATCCGATAGCCTCTTCTGTCCTCCTCGGGCATTGCACAACATGGGTGCACTTACCTAC